TAATATACATTTATTTTAATGAGAAACATCAAATAATTTGTTTTCTTCTTTAATATACTAATACCTATTTAAATAGATTTTGATGAATATGATATTTTACCTGAATTACTCAAATATGGCTCAGATGATCTTTCCAAAGAACAATTATTTGACATCAGTTATTTCGAGAAAGTTTTCCGAAAGTTATCAGATTGTAAATTTCAGTTCAAATTATTGTTGTTGATGTTTTCTTTTTTTGTTTTTTCTAAATTAATGACTTTCCCCCAAAAAAATATTATTAGCAATGTCGCCAGAAAAATGTGCCCCGAAGACAAATTCAAAGCTTCCAGAAAAACATTTTCGCGAAATACCTAATCCTTTAGTACAAGGTTTACATATAGCGTGTGTAGAAGTATTTACCACTTCCATAAAACCTGCAGATTTTGTCAAAGTTTCATTGGACATTGTTCTTATGAATGGTAGAAAGGGCGTTGCTTTGCAGCCTATGGTTTTACATGCAATAGGATTACTTTATTCTTTTCTACCTGTTGATGAATTTATTACAAAATTATTTGATGAATTGGTAACAATGATATTAACAGATCCACACCTTGGAGAATTTTCACAGGCTTTTAATTTGGTAAAATTTTTTTTACATATTTTATATGAATCTAAAATCTTTTTTTCCTCCTTTGTTAATTTACTAAATTTTTAAATGAAATTTATAGACTGGATGTTCCTCAAGTCAGTTTTCATCTAACAATGAAAGTATTAATGAAACTTTTTTCCAGGATGGTGGTGGACTTTTCAGGACATGGAGAATATGGTATATTAAGTCACCCTAAATATAAATACAATTTAAAATTTAAATAATTTCATATGTCATAAATATATATATATATTACGGTACCGTGCTGCCAATTGCCAGTGCTGCTTTAAAGAATTCCTGTACAAGTGTTTTTATGGCATCGGAATTTTCTAATTCTAATTCATTGACAGAATAAAGGTCGTTTTTATCTTTTTTTAGCCATTTTGTTGGAGGTGTAGGAATCCCCGAAAATAAACGCTCCGAAGATTCTGAGTGAAAATTTTC